GGGGGGGGGGGGGGGCGGCTCAGCACTTCCAAGGACCAGAAGAGAGAAGGAGGGGGCTGGGGGGCATGGCTAGTTGAGGGAATTGTATGAAGGGATTGCTATGGCTGTAGCATAGAGTGGAAGAAGCTGGAGAGGGAGGCAGAGGGGCTACTGATTCAATCCAGAGGGCAAAGGAGAGGGGAGCCTTTTTAAGAAGTGGAGCAAGGTAATCAGATTTCATCTTAATGAGATTACTGTGGCTGCAGTCTGGAGACTGTATTGAAGGAGGGGAGGACAGGAAGCAGGGAGACAAATTAGGAGGGTATTGCTGATGTAATCCAGGAGAGAGAGGACGTGGGCATGCTGTGTGAGGGATTCTGGCCAACAGGCAATTGGATAAGCAGGTCTCACACTGTCCAAAAGAATCTCTGAATCTCATCCTCGTCACGGAGCTTCTACACTTTTCCCTTTGCCTTTTTCTTTCTATATACTCCTTAAGATTGTCATTAAATGTAGTCACATTTTTCTCTTTACCATATTTTTTCCTTTGGCTTGTCGTTTCTATCCAGATGATATCTCAGTGATTGACTGATAGACTGAATCAAGCAATATTACTTTGCCAAGGTAACCTTGGAATATAATCAGTGTAAAATAAATGTTGGCTGAATTGACTTGCAAGCTCTTTTTACCCCCCATGACACTTACTATGAGTTGAGTATATATTAAGTATTTAATGAGTACTGATGGACTTGCGTTGAATCCCAACTTATCTGCAAGGTACTCACATATTTTACTATGACAAACATAACAAAACAAAAAAAGCCATAGTTTTAAGAGCATTAACCAGTTAAACTTAAGAAATACCCTTTCAGTTATCAAACTAGGTATCACTCTGTAATGAGTACATTGAAACTCCTATCAGGCTTGCATTTTTACATGAAGGGATTATGTAAGGTTGCTCTGCATCCAGTTACACCTGTTCTCTAAACTACAGAAAAATAATCCTGCCATGCGTTCTGAAAAAGTCTGTTATCTTGTGTGAAGCAGGAAGGGGGAAGGGAGGGAAAAATTTTATATGATTAAAGATTGGGAAACTTTCCAAACCACTTTAAGTAGCCACTGTCCAGAAGATAGCTACAACGAGCAAGAAGTGTGGCTCCGGTATCTATATTGGAACTGGCTGGCTACATAAAGATATAATTCCACTCTATGTTTCTCCACAGTGAAGGAGATGATGAGTTTTAACCAAACTTAATACTCAATTAAAAGGAATCTATGTATTGATAAATTAAAATTTAAAAAATGGAATCTATGTATGCCTTAAGAAACATTTCGGGGGGACAGAGGGAATGATGAATTTTTCAATAAATTGTGTTGAGACAATTAGAGGGCCAAAGAAAAGTCTGGATCTATACCACATCTTTTACTTCAAAACAAATTTCAGCTTAAAGATTTAAATGTAAAAAGCAAACCCATTGAAATACTAGAAGAAAAATGGGTGGATGTTTTTATAATCTTGTCATAAAGACTATTTACTCATTCGTTCATTTAGCAAATATTTATTTAGTGCCTACTATGTGTGAGCACTGTTTTAGATGTTAGGAATACATCAGTGAACAAAAAGACAAAAAAGTCTCTGCCTGCCTGGAGCTGACATTTTAGTGAGGGGGTGCTATGGTCTGAATGTTTGGGTGCCCCAAAATTCATATGTTGAAATCCTAACCTCAAAAGTGACGGTATTAGGAAGTGGGGACTTTGGGAAATGATTAGGTCATGAGGGGGCAGAGCCTTCATGAATGTGATTAGTGCCCTTATGAAAGAGAACCTGTGGGCTGGCTGGTTAGCTAAGTAGGTTAGAGAATGGTGTTATAACACCATGGTCAAGGGTTCGGATTCCTGTACC